TAATGTGATGGCACTTGGTGTGAGTGAAGATGCAAGCAAAGTAATTATTGGAAAAGGCAATAAAGAAATACACATCTGGGAACCGAACAAGTCACCATCTCTACGAAAAATCCAAGGCATACAAGGATTGGAATTCAATGAATTGAGCAAAATTTTCATTGTCGACAATGACAGGCGTGCTGTTGTTTTTGCCGGAGACATATCGGTATGGGATATTGAACGCGGGGTTTTACTAGCAGTGTTTTCTCCAGACACGAAAATTACGTGTTGTCATGTTTCCATGGGTGGGCGCGTGATTACTTTCGGCTTACATGACATCCCAGAAATTGTCATTCTGAAGCTGATGTCCAGTGGTCTGCCGAGTATTGAGGATGAGGGACAGGATATGTTTGGAGAGAAACCTGTTGAATCGTCAGACGAAGACGAGGAGGAGGAGGAAGAGACGTAATGTGAACATTTAACATTGATCTGCAGGTTTGATTAACAATAGATACACAGACTGTATATTTAAAAACATAAACTATGAAAAAGGCTTCGAAATGAAGAAAAAATGATTGTATGTTTTCGGCTTGTTTGGAAGGTACATATAGAGTAATAAATTCTAAAATACACTTTAAAATGAAGTGTATGAAATAAAAGTAGTGTATTTCTTGAACGGTTTGCTCATAAGGTCCTGAATGTTGAATAGAGCTCATGTGTGATATACTTAATATTTTATTTATTCTATTATCAAGATTAAAAATATTGAAAAGCTCAATTAACAAATACCGTCCACAAGTTTTATACGTGTTTTTGTATCAATAAAATGTGCATTTATTTCTTTACAATATACTGTGATGTATCGGTGCTGATAAAACATGTAACACTAAAATCTTGTGATACCTTTCAATCTATATATATATTTGATATTTTCACAGACTTTTACACATCGCCTAGTTTGTACTGTTCATTAAATATTTTCGTATACATTATTCAACTGTCTTTTTTGGTTTATATGTTATATTTTCTTTGAAAAATAAATATTTCTATATAGACATCTCTGTTTTATTTTTCTTTTGAACTTAAGAAAACAAATTATATCAGCAAATTAACAAAAACGATTCAAACAAAAAATAATCCTTTTCTAAAAACAAGTGCGTTTTGGTTTAAATTGATGCTTGCTTACTATATAGCTTTTTTTACATTCAACAGAACAAAATTCACTTTGGCCAAAAAGATAATTTGTAATTTCATATTATAAAGATATTAGTTACCTAATTTTATTTAAGTGCTATCTTGTAAAATATATTGGCTATATTTTATAACAATACTAGTATATCAATTTAAGAATGCGTCTTAAATGTTCTTTTGTAACATGGTGCTATAAAGCTTGAAAAGCAATGATTTAATGATTATTATAACAACATTCTTAAGCATTCTGTTTTTGGTACGATTTATGATCTCAATTCATTTTACAAAATCATGTGATGCACATAATTGACGCAAAAAAAATGCATGAGTTGACCTTCATTCATGGAGATAAATTAAAATGTTAATCTTCATTACGAAGTAATAAGAACATGTATGGAAAACCCTGGTAATCAAAGATTACAGAGCTCGCCTCAACGATTGTTGTCTGTAAGTAAGACAAAGTCCTACCTTAAACTAATAATCTAGTAGTGTACATCCCAAGATGCAACATTTATGCAATTTTGATCTTATAGAACTTTAGGTTACTTGGAAATGAACTTATCAAAAAACTTCAAACTAGTAATTTAACCATGTAATACAAATTTGGCATCTGAAGAATTGAAGTGTTCATCCCTTGATGCATTATCCGCTGTAATTTGGCTCAGACCGAAAAAAAAACTCAACATAGATCTTGACACCTTACCTTAGAAAAAACTTTTCCAAAAACTTTAACCTGGTCTCTCGTCCGAATAATGTTAGTCAGACCCAGGACGGCTCCGCAGCAAGCCTAGTAGTGTGTATCATCCATGCACGTTTGGTCAACCAGTCGTATTGTTACCTCAGAAATAAACCAGCTTAAAAACCTTTGATCTGGTCACACTCCACAAAATGCGGGCCAAATCCACCATCTGAAGCAAGTCAGATAACGTGCACCCTTAGATGCATTATCATGCAGGTTCAAGTTTGGTCAACATAGGGCTTGTACATGTAGTTACCTCAGAAATAAACCAGCTCGAAAAGCATAAATCTTGTCTCTCTACTGGAAAACGTAGGTCAAATCCAGCTTCCAAAGCAAGCCTGGTAATGTGCATCCTTAGATGTTTTATCCATGCAATTAAGTTGGGTCAACATAGGGCTTATTACTTTGAAATGAGACCTGCACCGAAAACTTTTACCTGGTCTGAAACATCAACATAGTCATTACTTAGGTGATATAACAGCATCTGAAACCTTGACTGGTACAATGAAACACACTAGAAGCATTTTCCATGCATCTCTGGCATAGAAATATTTAATAAGTAAAATGCTTCAAAATTTTGACTTTGGACGCCGACGGTATAATGTGATATTGTCGGTGTCCACCTCCTCCCCAACTTCGTTGAGGTGAGCTAATGAAGCAAGCTCACATACCTCAAGTTCCCCAAAACTCGAAGTGCTGAAATTGCCCGGGAAAATAAAGGAATCCCAATATCCTGGTAATAAGCACATCTACAAATTGTGTCCTGAATATCTGCGAAGTTTGACGAAATTTTGTGCAGCGGTTTAAGAGAAGTTGTGCTGACAATCCGTTTATTTCTATATTCAAGGTATGGCCAAAAATCTAAGTTGAAAAGTGCCGAAATTCCCTGACAAATTAAGAAATCGGAATTTTCTGGTAATATGCACATATACACACTGTGTACTAAATATCTTTAAAGTTTGAGCAAATTATGTGCAGCGGTTTTTAGAGGAGTCGGCTGACAATCTGTTCATCTCTATATTCAAAGTATGGCCAAAAGTCTATGTTGAAAAGTGCGGAAATTCCAAGGAAAATAAAGGAATCAGAATTTCCTTGTAATATGCAAATCTACACACTGTGTACTAAATATCTGCAAAATTTGACAATATTCTGTGCAGTGGTTTAAAAGGAGTTGCGCTGACAAACTGTTCATCTCTATATTCAAGGTATGGCCAAAATTCTAAGTTGAAAAGTGCCGAAATTCCAAGAAAAACTACGGAACCGGAATTTCCTGGTAATATGCACATCTACACATTGAGTCCTGAATATATATGCTACGTTTAATGAAATTCTGTGCAGCGGTTTAAGAGGAGTTGCGCTGACAAACTGTTCATCTCTATATTCAAGGTATGGCCAAAATTCTAAGTTGAAAAGTGCGGAAATTCCCGGAAAAAATAAAGGAATTGGAATTTCCTGGTAATATGCACATCTACACATTGTGTCCTAAATATCTGCAGTTTCATAAAAGTTCTATGCAGCGGTTTATGAATAGTTGCGCTGACAAAAAAAAACAGGACTTAACAAGGTATGTGACAAAAATCTGATTGTAAAAGTACGGAAATTCACAAAAAATAAAGGAATTGGAATTTTGCATGGGGTAATATGCACATCTACACATGTTTCCAAAATTTCTGATAATTGTTCTACTGAGGGATGGTTAACCTTGTCTTTACAGAGTTTTAGTGAATTACAATTTTAAGGTAGGATTCTTCTCTGGTTTCTGACTAGATGAAACATTCAAAGTATATTTTCTTATATGTCTTATATATTGAGGTGTAAGGAATTTAAAAGACCATATTTTTCTTTCCTAATCACAATTGTACAACTTTAAATAGAAATGGTAAACTGCGTCTGAAAACTAGCAGGGACTATATTTTTGGCGGAATGGTGGCGTATGAAAATATCTTCTTTTCTGCCTCTCAAAATTATAATAGAACAATGAATTTAGTTATAATTTTTATACAATCGAAGACTTGGAGAAATTTTCAAATGTAAGTTAAAAATAATGAGGGACTAAACTTTCAAAATATATCAAATAAATATGATTTTCCAAACAAACTAGAACTTTGTTAGCTTTTAAACGCTTCCTATCAAAGTGCAGATTTGAGCCAAAAATTCATAAAAAGTATTTTTTCTCTCTTAGTAAACGATCAAAACTTTTTGTTTTTGTATCATTTTGTACATTTATAAGACTACTCATATCATATGTGAAAATAAAAAGTTAAATATAGGAAGCATATGAAAATAATTAATATATCCTAAAAAATTAAGAAAAACAGAGAAAATTTGGATTAGCCAATATCCAGTTAAGTTAAATTATTTATGCAAATTTGGTAATATCATGCTATAGACCCGATATAGTAATATGTTTTTATGCAAAAAGAACAAATTTTAAACTTTTGAAATAGAATTAGGTATCACATGATTGGCAACAGTATTTTTTCTATTCTTAATGATAAGGAAAAAGATAATGACCTTGCGTCTAATATAAAACGGTCAAATTTAATTTCACTGATACTATCACTTACTGATATTGTCTTCTTAATTCTATGAAAATTTCATTAATTTTTTGATATTGTCTTCTTAATTCTTTGAAAATTTCATTAATTTTTAACTAATTTATATATTTTATCCATCTCCCAATCCTTTATAGTTGTCTCTACAAGTGATAAACTCGCTTAATTAAAATTATTTGTTTGATTCCTGAAAATTCACTTCAAGCGAGTTTATTGCCTGTGGAGACAACTTTAAATGGTTGGGAGGTGGATAAAATATATATGTTGGCTACAAAATGTGTCTAGAATTAGGGAGCGAAAAGATAGTTGATTGACCAATGCTAGAAAGTGGAGAAATTCTCTCCCAAAGTGCGTAAAAAATCTTGCGCCGTAAATTGCACCTTTTTTGCATTAGGGATCTGTAGCGTTATGGTCAAAGACAAATATATAAAACCATAACGCTACAGAACTGCAGCTAGGGCATAGAATACAAAAAGGATAATGTATTGGTGTTCTTTACAAAGATTAAATAATCTAGTAACAAAAAAAAAATGTAAAACCTTTTAGATTTATTTTATTCAAGCAGTAAGCGAAAGGTTTTATGACAGAAAATACTACATATGGCATATTAATAAAATACAACATGTACAACCTTACAGTGTACTTACACATTATTTACATCGAAAGCATAAACAAAGAAAACTTTTCAGATACTGGTTTCATACTAAAAAAAAGTCACAACTGTTGTTCAAAGTACGAAATATTTTAAAACGCTTTCTGCTTAACACTAAAATATGTATATATTCTAATGGAATGATATCATTGAGTTACCGTCATTTTTCTAGTTTGCATTATCTTCTCTATTATTTTTTGTAAAAATACTACACATTAATAAATTCTTACATCCATTTATTGTGTAAATATATGTAAAATATAAAATTAGATATCATTATATAGAATTTAATTCTATGAACAAATAACATTCTGTGTCTCTGAAACCTTCTATAGAGATTCATACCCTTGGAAATTTATATGGAATACACAGCTTCAACAATAATACATGGTTTATATTTACTACAGAATGATAAAATGAACATTGAGCAGAAATTTATAGCCGCATGTTGAAAACATAAAAATCTGAAAAGTTTTTTTTTTGGAATGTATCTGATACCTGATCTTCAAATTGACAACGGTTCTTTCAAAAAATAAGAAACGGTTTACTGGAAAATAATTTCCTAAAGTTTCTGTGTGTAAAACATTGACTTACGCAATTCACAAACATGACATAAAAGATTTGCTAAATAGAAAACTCAAACAAGATTAATATTCTTTACAACATTTGCAAATATATGTAGTACATATAGTACACCAAAATAAGTTTTTCTAGTTTATACTAAAAACTATATTAACACCTGAAAGTATAAATGCAAAGTACTGTTAAGACACAGTATATAGCGAAAATAAGATCTGACAAATCTACAATACTACCTCTTATATGAAAAAGGAAAATAATTTACATGGTTTCTTCAAAAATAAATTTCTCTTCAAAAATCTCACTAAAGCACCAGCTCTTGTCAGTTTCGTACGTTAATCAAATAAGGGCTTTACCAGAAAAAAATTAAAACGACAACGATTTAAATACCGCATTGATAATTATATGTCAATAAATAAAATGTAAATGCTGTACATTTAAACTGTAATAATGATTAAAAATATGAGGCTTTTTCAGTCGTTACTTATAGCAATAAATCGAAACTTTATAAGAATAAATAAGAATGGAAAAATTGAGATAACGAACAGCATTCAAGCTCAAATGTCCATTAAAAGATACAAATCAGTAGCAGAGCAAACACGGACCTCTAAAACATCTGAGGTGCATGCATTGGATCAGATGCCAATCAAATATTTGTATATGTAAGTGATACGAGTTATTTAGAGTTGTTCATGGACATTTTTTTAAATAATAAAACATGTTTAAATTATTGCACATCTCTTGATATATTAATTGAATTTCAAACCAGAAGTCTCTGACAAAACTTTAGTTCTACATGTATGTACTTATAATAAAGGAGAGTAAAGTAACATTTGGAGTTGAAACTGTGGCAAGGCAAACAAATAGGACTTATCGCCCCTGGGAAAGTCTGTTACTGTAGTAAGTTTTGTTAAACTAATGTACATGTATGTGTATAATGCCAATGTGCCAAATTCAAAGAACTTTTAGAAAACCATGATTACGCCACTCGCTGAATTCAAAACAAATATTCAGAATATCATGACTTGGTTAGTGAGAATACTTGTAGAGAAAATTATAAAAAAGCAGGTCAAAAACTGTAGGATGTTCAGCATTCTGAATTTCACAGAAACTTAATGTCTACATCATTTTTTAGAAATCGGAGTGAACAACAGACGGAAAGATAAACGTATGTAGTATTTTAGTAAAGCTGTTTATAAATCGAACCAGAACTGAAGGAGTAAAAAGAATTTCAAAGATAATCTGCAATAGTACCCGTAGTACTTAAAGATTAAACATACGAAAACTAAATAAACGTTCAAAGGACACCTTACTATGCATAAACTCTTCTGTGTATCTGATCAGTAGAGTTGTAAATGAAAAAAATATATACATAAAACTGAAATATATTTTTTGTTACAAAATACAAAAATAAAAACTTATATGAAGAAAACAAATATGACATCTGTCTTGTAAACAAGAATCATACAAATTGATCAGGAATACAGTATTCAACTAAATTAAAGAAATCCATATACGTAACATTTTACCTGAAACTCTAAGATAATTGTGACCTGGAATAATGAGTTACTTGCAAAAATATAAAAACATCCACAACACTGTGAATCTTTTTAAATCTCCTGTCTTCACACAAAATGGATTTATTCTCATCCTTAAAAACAAGTTTAATTCCAACATCTTAGAGGTATGTTGAAATCAATATCTTTGTTTTAAAAAATTCAATTGTGAAATAAAAATTTCTGAAATACTTGTATTTCTATCCTTATTGTATTTTCCATAAAGAAAATAAACAAATTTACAATGTAAAATAAAAATAAATTCGTATGAGAATGTGTTCACTCATATAAGATTTTATGTCGATTTTTTAATTTAGTTTTTAAACTGGTTTTTCCGTAAAAATGAATTTTTAGGTTTAAAAATAGAATTGTGTTCTTTCAGTGATTATTTTTATTTATGTTCAAGTTTAGTCTGGAACACAAAAAGAAAATTTTACCAAAAGAAATACTGTCAAAATGAAGAATGAAAAAATGAATGCTGTTATCTGATTAAGGATATATGGAGATAAAATCCAACTTCCTATACTATGTTAGGTACCAATGCATTCATTCATACACTGTATTAAACTAATGTTGTATTGAACACAATTTTCATTTTCCTATATACAGGAAATATATAAACATTCAAAGAAAAAAAGAATTCTGCATCATTTGTAAGCAGAATGCAATTGCAGAATGAAAATTCACATAGAAATCCTCAGTCTTTTAACTACTGTATAATGGGAACTTCCTGCTACTATGCCATTTTTGGTTTTATAAGCAATGGTCATGCTATTGCTAAAATTGTATATGGCTAATAACTGTCAGAAAAGTAGTTATTCCTCCAAAATTGAAAAACAAAATCGGTCTTTCTTACAACATTAAGTATTTAATTGCTGGCTTTGTTGATTGCTAAAGTATCCTACTACAGTAAAACTCGTTTAGTGCAAACACGGATATTACGCCATTTTTGGTATTATAAGCGATGGTCTTGGTTTTGCTAAAATTGTATACGGCTAATAACTAAATTCCAATTTCTGAAATCCTTATACGGATATAATTGAAAAAAAAATGGTCTTTCTTACCACAATAAGGATTTAATAGTTGACTTTGTTGATTGCTAAAGTATCCTACTATCTGGTTTTATATTTCATCTACAAACTACTTCTTCGTCTTCTAGGACAAGCCAAATATGTTTTATTATAATCAGGATTTCAATTTTGCCACAAATAATTTGGAAAAGATTGCTTAGGTTTTCAATTTTGCAGCAAACTAGTTGTTAAAGTTCACTTTTAAGGATTATTATCAGCTTTATGTTTGGGCATCTCCATCCATGCAATCTTCTATTGCCTTTACTAATCTCTTCTTAATCTTCTCACTTTGCATGATCACATGTTTTTGCCATTTTCCAATGACATCTGGGGTTTCCTTACATATTCTATCAGCCAAACTTGCCAATGACTTCTCATTTACTTTCACACAGACCGGGTACTTGCTCTTCTGAGGTTGAAGTGTTCTGTAGAGAACATTGAGGTCTGCATGCTGCAACACAAACTCTTCACTGTCCTTCATCATTACAGATAAGATCAATGTAGTAAGAACTTTGTGATGAAAAACATAGCAATCTCTCAAAGGATATAAGTAGCCTAGCATCTCATGCATGTTTAAAAAGCCTTCAATTTCTTTGTCACCTTTCTTACTGCAACCTACTTTACTACAAATTCCAACATACATCAATTCTTTATCCACGAAATCTTGCACAGATACCTTTCCACCAGTGAAAGCAGCAAAAATAAGCAGACTGGCAAAATCCTTGTCTAGAGGACCAGTTGAATCCTTCCTCAGATGTGTAATTCTCATCTTCAAAACTTCCTCCAAACTGTCAGAAATAGCCATTCCCGCATTTACAAACAGAAACCTGTTTGTGCTAATCAGATCAAAGAGCAGAGGTGGGCCAATTCCGTTCCTTGTTTTTGCTTTCTTTACCCAGGACCTGATTGTGTCTTCTGAGATAACGATTTGAGAGCTATCAGCATGATGTTTATCTATCTTCTTCAGGTTCTCGTCTTTCTTCTTTTTAGTCAACACAAACTTGTTGAACTGCAGGTGCTTCTTTAAAATTTCCTCCTTTTCATGTTTGTCTATTGTCTTGTCATTTAATTCAATCTGAAATTCTTTGGAGAAAAATGGACATTGCAATAACTTTGAACTGAAAGTGTTCCAAGTGGTATCTGTAACCGTGCAAATGATGCGAAGCTGACCAGCCTCTATCAATCTCATATAATCCTGATACATCTCTAAATGAGAGTCAAGTAAAGACTCTTGGTAGGCATATTGCTCCATTGCATCATCCAGCAGCACATAAGTAACTGTGGATTCATCCATTTTACTTGCAATTTCCTCAACAGAGTTGCAAACTTCAACAAAGCATCTTTTGCCATTTGATGTTGTATTTACCTTTTTGTTGAGAAGGTTGACTGCTATAGTGGTTTTTCCTGACCCATGTGGACCAATCAACAGTAAATTCCCATGAACTTCAAACAGACCAACACTTTTGGTGAAAATCTTTGTTGGGGTGAAGACATTTGCACTCAAATAATGACAAATCCTGTGAAAATCTGAGAAGAAAATAAAATTAACAGTTAAATGAAAACAAGACATGTATTTTTTTTCCTAAAGTACTTTTAAACTTGTTAGCCCAACATTCTCTATATTCTCTCCGTTTTTTACCAAAAAAAATTACTGGGAGTGATTTCATATTTAAAATGTTGCAACAATTTGAAAGCTATTTTACCTGAAGGAAATGTCTCCACTAATGGTTGTTGCAATTCTACATCTTTCTCTTTTTTACCTAGGAAAATTTTATTCAAAAATTCAGTAAATTGCCATATAAATGTCAGTTCTTGAAAATATTTTAATTGCTCAATGAGAGGATTACCCCCCCCCCCCAAAAAAAAAGCTGTTAGGCTTTCATCAGATACAGGTAACATCATGTATATAAAATATAAAATGTACTTTAAAGGATAGAAAATAATTAATTTAAATATTAATCTACAGTGTTTAATAAAATAATTGGTAAATGAAAAGTGTTTACTTTATAGTAATAATAAAATCTATAGAAAAAAGCTTCATGTATATTAAATACATGTACCTGAACTGTTTCCCCTTCTTCTACACAGACAGAAGATACAGGCAATGACAACCACTAAGCATACAAAGGAGACACTACCCACAATAATGGGCAGGAGGGGGAGGGGCTGGGAATTTCCTCCAGAAGATGGTTTCCTGGTGAAATAAAATACTGAAAATTGAAATATATCCCGATATTTGCAGTATGATTGCAATTTTATGCATTTATTGCTTATACATGTATTTACATATTTATCTCATATTGCCTTCATTGCAAATGTGATTTACTAGTATATAATTTCAAAATTTCTGTTTGGGTAAGTTCCAGTGAATGGAAGAGCCAATGCAACAGCTTCTGTTCAAAGTGAGTGTGATATTTTATTTTCAATTATGATGTTCCACTTGCACAGCATTCAACTTTTGTCAAAACAAAATGTAATCTTTAACATTTTGTTCCCTTGTCCATGATACGGTGTTTTGAATGCCATAGATTTCAACACACTTTTATATGCAAAATACATGTGTAATGTAAATATATAATTATGACTGGAATTTTATCGTTTTCATACACATCCTTAATTTTTACATGAATTTAATTACCCGTTACTCCATATCTTGGAATGCAAATGTAAAATTGTCTAAAAAATTATTGACAGTATTGAAAGCATTGAAACTTTTGATTATAAGGACACTAAGCTACCAAGGCACATATTTTATATCTACATACAATTGTAAGTCAGATTCCACCACCATTCTGTGTAAATGATGCATGATTATTAAAATATTTATAATGAGAGCTTTGGTGTTTTTTACTAGATTAAGCTTTTATTTCTTTATATATTCCAGCTCTGATTGCCAATTGTAGGTACATGGAGCCACTCAATGCAAGAGTCATGATTTGAAAAAAAATGAAACAAATTTATATCTACTTGAGAATACTTCCATATTGATGTGGTTTAAGGATGGCCTAGCTGTTCTTAAGAAGAAGAAGTTTATTCAATAAAGATTTTTCCTATGTATTCCCTTCAATGTAAAATTTTATCACTAACTATGGTCCACCCCAAAGGGTAATGAATTTAACAAAGGAGTATATATGATAAGAGCCAATTTTGGCCCCCTAAAAATCAACATTTTAGAATGACATTCAAATATGTTTAATTGATATTTATTTTGTAGAAGAGATTATATTAGAAATATTTCCAATATATTTTTCTCATTCATATGCACTCACTAGCTGTAAATGACATGAGAAATAATGTTATTTTTGCTATCTAACAAAAAAGCCAAAAATATGCCTTTTTCTTGATGTTTTTTCTTCTGGGAAACATAGAGCGCAGTGTAGAACATACGTAATTTTTCTGTCACTAATTAGTATTGGATAGATACATCTTTGGTAAAAATATAAATCTTGTTTATTCATATTTTCTGGAAAAAAACTGATAAGCAGTTTTATACAAAATATGCTAAAATGGCCGTTTTTTATGATGTCAATTTCTAATTTTTGATCAAAATGAAAATGACCAATAAAGGTCGCATATATAGCTGTACAAATTAAAGCTATATATAAAGTACAATTAAGATATTCATTTAAAGGGGCCAATTGAGACACTTACCATATATCACTCTTTGAATTTATACACTACCTGATAATGTTTCCATATAAATATGACTAACAAGGGCCTTTCTAGCTGCAGGTTCTCAAGATTTTTTTCTCTTTTAAATTTTTGTGTAAAATTTTGATAACCTACTGTGGGCCCACCCTACCATTATGTAATTATACACACTGCAAACTTTTATACTCTATTCCTACGAAAAATCCATGCACATATGTGAAGTATATACTGTGTCAGATTACCTACAGTCAAACTTCGTTATCTCGAACCTGATGGGACTGAGAAAAAACTTCCAAGATATACAAGGAATCGAGATATCGAAGGTAAAATACTTAAAGAATATGTCGTTTGGACTTCCAAATCACTTCGAAATATCCATGGTATTCCAGATACTGGAGTTTGAGATACCGAAGTTCAACTGTATATCATTGTACATCTTTTATTCATTCAGTTCATTGTATATCTCGTACACCTTGACTTCTTGTATGAATAGAGTATTTATAGCATTGCATGCCAGTTGCCAATTTTTTTTCAGTTTTCTAAATACTGTTTTAAGCATATGAAATACATGTATAATATTACACTCTTGAGATAAGATATCCACAATATTTGGCATTATAGCATGCTCTCATAAAGCTGACTTTATAGGATATATGTGTATTGCCTTCTTTACCTAGCTAGTAAATTACTACAAAAAAAATTCAACAGTTGTAAATATGTGGTTGAATTTAAAAAAAAAAAAAAAAGACTTGGACGAATTAACCTATCAGTATCTGGGAGAGAAAAAAAAATGAATCAAATAATGATATGTAATCACTTGACAAAGAAGTTTTACTTTAGGGCATTACTTAAGGAATGTTTTTTTTTACAGTTGGCTTAGTAGAAAAACACAGCACATGTAAATATTAAGTCATAAAGATTATTCAAATGAGGATGGTTAAAGAAGAAAATTAGACATTGAACTACAGTATTAAATTTGATACTTTTCAAACAAACAAAAAAATCTACTCTTGTTGCTACAACCAATGCATTATAAAGAACATGTATATTAAAGCTGTCTGGCAAAAAACTAATGATATGTCTATATTAAAACTAAAAGCCACTTGTATGGAACGCTGTCACTGCCTTATAACAGAACACAACAATTGCACTGCGTCAACCTTCCATTACATTATGTCAACTCTATATGACATTTACTCATACAACTATTACATTGTGTCAACCTTCTATTACATTATGTCAACTCTACATGATATTAACTCATACTACTATAGCATTGTGTGAACTTTCCTTTACATTATGTCAACTCTTTATGACATTTACTCACGCTACTATTGCATTGTGTGAACTTTCCTTTACATAATGTCAACTCCATATGACAGTTACTCACACTACTATTCCATTGTGTCAACCTTCCATTTCATTATGTCAACTCTTTATGACACTTACTCACACTACTATTGCGTTGTGTCAACCTTCCATTATATTATGTCAACTCTTTATGACATTAACCCACACTACTACTGCATTGTGTCAACCTACCATTATATTGTGTCAATTCTTTATGATATTATCCCACACTACTTTTGCATCGTGTAAACCTTCCTTAACATTATGTCAACACTTTATGACATTTACACACTCTTGCATTTCGTTATGTTTACTGTTCATGACATTTAATTAAACAACAATTCCATTGTGTTAACCTATCATTACATTATGTCAATTCTTTATGATATTAACTCACACTACTACATTATGTCGATTCACTATTACGTTATGCAAACACGGGTATCCTCGGCCTTTATATGAGCATAACGTATTTTCCGCGTTCCGCAAGCACTAAAATTGGCGGGAGAGATAATTGTCGTAGAAGAAATCTCAGCGATTTGGGAATGGTATCTTTAAATAAAAATTTTAAGCGACAAAGGATTGACAATCTTGAAACGTACAAAGCCTTAACACTGCGACTGTGACTTAAAGTCACTTCGAAATTCAATGGCGTTTACTTTATTCTGATAATTAAATAAATCAAATATTATGAGTCTTGCAGCATTTTTTTTTCTTTTTATTTTGAATTGTTTGTTTGTTTGGGATATTTTTTGGATAAAAGTCTTAAACTTCTGATCTTACTAAGAACATTGTCATAATTTTTTTATCAGTCTTGAACTTTCCTTTTTTTAAAAGTGTAGACACATCGTATAACACACGTGCACTGGTGGGTTGGGTTGGGGGGGGGGGGGGGGGGGGAAATCCCGCCCTACCATCTTTAGTGACCAAAATCTACATGTATATAGAATTAATAAATTTGTTGCTTTACTTTGTAGGACATTGCATTAGTTTCACATTAAGTTTAGCTGAATTACGTTGAAAACTTTTTTTTTTTATAAAACTATAAAGCCTGAGAGCTTCTCCGCTTTCCCCCTTGGTCTCCAACCTTAAACCGTCCCCCTTCGGGCTTGAAGAATTTTTTTTATTCAAGATTCTCATATCCGCTACTGATATGTGTCTATGCATGCTTACTAAGGCATATTCAATTGATTAAGATGAGGGATTGGTAGATTTTTGTAATAGAATTCTGGCCCTGGAATGGTTGAAAAAATTACTAAATACAGTGACGTATTATCTTTTTCGAAAGGAGGGGGGATGGGGGTCAGCCAGAAAAAAAATATTCGCCTGAAAAAAAACTTGAGAAGCAAAAAAAAAAAATAAAAAAATGGTCCACTCCAAGCCCGAAAATCCTATTTCGGGGAGGGGGGTCCAACTTCGATCAGTCCAAATTTTTTGTCAGATATACCCCATTATACCCTCAGTGGACTATACTTCAAGAAAAAGTGGAGGTGGGGGGCTGTACTTTCAATGAACATTACATTTTCTATTGTAAAGTTATATCTTGGAAAAGAGGGGGGCTGATATTTTGTGCCTGTAATTCTTCCTAATCAATCAGGACCCCCCCCCCCCCCCCCCTCTTACCAGTCATAAAAACACGGTCGTCAACATTCATTTTATACCAGATATACAGCTTTGAGATAATGTAAATGTATTTTTACATCAGGTAATGCACTTTTGGAATCAACATGATAAAGAGTTAACACAATATAAAGATATTTTAAGATCACATAAGAAAGAGTTGACATAACGTAAGTATATATCCACATCACGGAATGGAGTTTTGACATAATGTGATGAAGTGTTGATATAATATAAAGATATGTTCACATAATGTCATACACTTTTTACACATGTAATAAATCACTGACATAAAGGTAAGATGTATTCACCTCACATCATGATGCTCTCGCCGTAAAATAAAGATAAACCCATATCATGTAATAATGCTTTGATATAATAGAAATATACACTCTCAAAAAGGAATGGATTTTTGACATAATGTAATGATAAGTTTAATTATAAAACACAATTCACTTGACGTAATGCAATTTTGACCTCACATATTAAAGAAATGAAATGATATAAAGAAACATTCATTTCACGTAATAAAGTTTTAACACAAAGTAAACACATTATCACTTCACGTAATGAATTTTCGACTTCGAGTTATGAAGTGCTAACATAATGAAAGGATGTATTTACTTCATGTAATGCAGCATTGACATGATGTAAAGATATTTTTACATAATCTCATAAGAATTGGCATAACGTAAAGATATGTTCACATCACGTAATGATAAATTGACATAATAAATGCATAGTTGTATGCTATAAGGCAGTGTTGGCGTTCCATACACTTGGTTAAATGTAAGGCTAGTCTTACAGGTTATACCTACAATGTATTCATGTTCCTGAAATTGTTTAGTACATGTATATTGTAATTTATTGTAAATCAATTAAGTCTGAAGACTAGCAGATAATACAAGGATATTAAAAGTTGTAAAATTATTGAACAAGTAGAATTTTTATACTTTTAATTATTTACATGTAATTGAATCCTGAATACTTTTGTTTGGGGCAGCATCAGATTATTTATATAATATCTAAACAATCTAAAGGAAGGAGTGAGGGAAATACTTACTCTTGTCTTGTCATATTCAGGCATCCAGTATCTAAATGGAAAAAAAAAACAGCTATAATATACTGTAAGTTATTGAGAGAGATATACCAATTTCTATATATCAAATCTTGTAGAACTTTTGTTTTGTTTTGTTTTATGTTTCTTACAAACTGATAACAAACAACACACATCTAATTGAGAAAGATCGGGAAAGTACAGGAAAATACCTGGTAATAGTGTACAGTAGCTTTTCTTTCAAAGAACAGTAATTCAAAATATAGAGACATGTTTTATGAAAAAAACATATCCTAAAATGCATTTATTTGCAGCAAATTTGAAACTCTAATGCATATTATTTGCAAAGAAAACAATTTTCACATCTTGATTCTTTTAAATATTAATAAGAATAAAAATATTTCAGAGCTCATCATAAATTTATATTATTTTTTCTTTAATTAAAAATGGTGTTTTAAGGGTTCATTTGACAGCAGTATTAAGTCATGCTTCATAAAGTAATAGAACGAAGAAATTGAAAATGTTATACTTTTTTCAAAGAGAGAATGTGATAAAAGAAAGGAGAAAATTGACAAAAGTAAAATTATTGCATGACACATGCAAAATCTGTTAAGTTTTTAAAGAGATTTGAGTCAGAAAATAACAGGTTTCTGAACCTAAAAAAAATCTACTTTAATTTATAGAAGAAAAATAAAAGTAAAAAAAAAAATCTGTGTATAGCCCAACAAAACAATATTGCTTCACTTCTTCCTCTTTATTGTATGCATAAACTGAAAAACTGAAAAAATTACCATGGTACTGATTCCACAGATACATGTATACATACTGTAAATGTTCCTTTCAGTGAACCAAGAATTTTGAAACAATTCAAAATAAGATGATTAGAATTTATTCCTCACTTTTGCTTACTCAATTCAAGTTTCATGCTAAAATTACAGGACACACATGACCTTGATACTTTGCAGTTCTTTTTTTTTTTTTTCTTTTTTTGCTTTACAGTGTAGAGTCGAGTTGTCAAAACTTTGATATATTCATATTTCACATAAATCTTTTGCTAAAAGATACATGATATTTACTCATTATGTCACTTTAAGTAAACATGTGCAGATAAAGTGCAGCATTTATATACATACAGTAAAACTTGTTCAGTACAAACAAGAATTAATATACATGTATTGCAAATTCACGGCTATAGTGAAGTTATCTTGGATCCTCAGCTTTATAAATTTAACAAATCTTTATACAGGTACATGTATTACAAATTGGGGTAAGATATAGCCAAGTAATTTTATAGGTCTAAGTAACTTCATTATAACCAAGTTTTACTGTACATGTAATACACACATTTGGATCATGAAAGAATTAGGCTTACATTTGTACACATCTGGGGATTGAAAATCAACACCTGAACAGGTCCCTCGCTGAAGGTCACAAGGCTCCACATCTAATTTTTCAGCATTGAGGTTATACACAGGACAGTAATCTAAATTGCAAAAAAAAATTTATTAAAAAAACAACAAGCATATGTTTTGGCATAAAATTGCAACAAGCATTTTGAGAGTATTGCATAAGCATTACAATACCGAGTTCCCAATATTGGTTTGATCATGCATGCATTAATTCTGATAAAAATCATTAAATATAATTGAATTGCAAACTTGATCTGTGATTACAAGGGGTTGGGAAGTCATTAAGATACAAGTTGATTAAAAACATGTCTAGATTAGGAAGTGAAATTTTAAGTTACAGTTGATTGACCAATGCAAAAAAGTGGATAAATTCTCCAAAAACAGAAAATACTGCATTGTAAATTGCACTTTATTTGCACTACGGGATTTGTAGTGTTATCGTCACATAATATGTTGTAAAGCCAAAATGCTACATGCAGTTCTGCAGCTACACAAAACCAAATAGGACAGAACGAAAACCATTTTTAATGGTTAATGGACTAAAACAAGTAACTATAATCAGATAATATACAAAACTTAATGCAGTGATAATATTTAACCTTTAACAGAAAAATTCAGCCAAAGGATTGGAATATTTCGCTTCAATACACATGTAGTACATTAACTACATAGAATCTTTGTAAATATTCAATCTCTAGACATCAGCGTGAAGATGCAGTGATCCAGTGATGTCACTGTTGTGCCAGAGCTGCATACATGATCTAGTGTTGTCACTGTTGTGCCAGAGCTGAATATATGATCTATTGTTATACCCTTATAAATATCCTTCTATATATTTATTACTAATAAAAAGTCCAACAAAAGAAATGTTTATCACATCGATCTAACAATTTCACTGTTGACTGGTCTTACATTGTTAGACCGCAACGTCACTGTTACTGTTACGTCACAAATAATTAATCATCGTTCAATATTGGTGATGCAGAAATAGCTGAAGTTTAGAGCTACAAGACTTGTTGCTAACAGCAAGGTAAGGAAGAAGGGAAGAGTACTGTATAGTGGGAAAATAACTCGCGGTGTTAATATTCGCTATATTCACGGTGTTCATAAATCCGTGAATTCATGAAACAATGAATAATTTTCATTAATCTCCATGTTTTATTTGGAAATTGGAGAATAAACTACGATGGGTTTATATACATGCACGTGCAGAACATGGTCATTTCAGTAATTACGAGTAGTATATTCAATTATTTTAATTATTACGCTTTACTTTAATTCTAATCAGCAGATAATAACCTGTATTTGTTAAAAAGCTGTTTTAATATCCAACGCTACAAGTTTCGTCAATCAAAACACGTGGGCCATGGTTTTGACTACCCGTGCGTAACTAATGTTACCATGTGTATCTGTTACATGTACCTGCAGTATCATGCATATTAATTTTTATCGACGTTTTAAAACATTCAAGTAACTATCAAACTTACTGAAGATTTTGGAAGGATATTATTTCGTTGACCTACATAAACACATTTATTACCATCCAGTGGTTTTTCGCTGTGTTGTATTGAAGACCTTGGGGTGTACATGCACTCATCGTTATAGCATATAGGAAAGTCATTAGACGTTTATAGTCAACTTTTTATAACTGCACTTGTTTTAATTATTCGTCAATTACTTATCAAATCTAACAATTTTATATTAACCTACCCTGTTGATGTCGTTTTCATGTAGCTAAACGGATATAGACAAGGGAGGAAACTTTTATTTTATATCAATTCCGCGAATTCAAAAAACCGCGATCATGTCAGATGAAAGAAAAACGTGAAAATTACAACCCGTGAAATTAATCCCCTATACAGTATTTTTGTGATAAATAATTTTTGTGATACAATAAATATATAACTGATTTTGTTCTTTCTCATCTTGATGTTTTATTTACTGATTATGCCATACTTTTCCATAATTATATACAGTAATTGATAATATAGCGTGTATTGATTTAATTGATCAATCTTAAGTGAGCAGTGAAGGGTATAACAAAACAGTTATAGACTGGGATTCGGGCAACATATGATTTGTTGGACCTGAAGGTGAGAATATTGGCCTTGGCCTGCGGCCTCGGGCAACATTTTCACCTTCAAGTTCAACAAATCATATCTTGCCCTCATACCCAGTCAAATAACTGTAGTGTTGTCACTGTTGTGCCATCGCTGCATACATGATCCAGTGTTATCACACTTGTGCTATAGCTGTATACATGATCCAGTGTTGTCACTATTGTGCCATAGCTGCATACATGTATGCAGCATGGCACAACAGTAACAACACTGGATTGGATCACTGCACCTTCATCTAAATCAAGAGTTTGTTCTGGGCCTGGTATTTCGAGTACAATAAATATACATTTCTGAGGGGGTGACAACGATTAACTGACTAATCGGCCGATGACTGGTTGCAAAAAATTTAAGTTTCAAGCCCTGAAAATTTAAAACTCTTACTCGGTGGAACCCAGATTAATCCAATACAAATATCGCCCGGAACACGCCCATTGTTTGGAATGCAGTGATATGGAAAATCACTTGAACAGTTGAAATTTGATTTTCTTATGTTCCATGCTGCTTCGTTCAAAGGACAACTATCACCGATAGCTACAGGGTTAAACATATTTCTTTCAAAAATGAATTTTACAGACTGAAGAAATCTAGCATGATTCACAAGTCGAAAATTTCCTACTTTCGTTTTCGATCCCAACTTTCGAAAGGTCACATGACCCTAATATGGCGAGCTCCACTGGAAGAGTTTCCAGTATTTTCAGGTCGGGGTTATTCAACGGAAAAGTGGCTATTGTGACTGGTGGGAGCACTGGTATTGGTCAGGCAATAACCCAGGAACTCATACATTTAGGTTTGTTTATTATATTTAGGCGAAACCATTTGATTTCAGATTTGAATATCCGATTATTTCGTAACTATGCCAAGCAAAATCGAGAACTATTAAGAAATGATTTATAGGTAAATAATAAATAGATTTTTGAAAATTCATAAACAGGATGCACAGTTATGATAGCATCGAGGAATGCAGAGAGACTTTCTTCTGCAACAGCTGATATTAAGAAAAATATCCCAAATGGGAGTCCAGCAGAAATAAGCAATATTCCATGTAACATTAGGAAAGAAGATCAGGTAGGAATTTGGTTTGAACTATACATGCATATTCAAGTGTTAGATTTATACTCTAATATTTACATTTCCAATAAATTTTCCCTATGATTCTTTACAAAATAAAATGCAGTATATTTTCTCATGAACTACATTACATTTATACCACGAATAAGCATGAATATCTCCATTGTTATGTCACAATACCGCACTTGACGTCAAAAAAATATAGTCCACACTGATTTGCTTTAAAAATGACAGTTGAATGGCGAAAATTTAAGGCAAGTCATCAGAAAAATAATGTAAATATAAGAAATGAATTGAATTTTTGAAGATTCATGTCAGGTATATAAACTACAACGCTCCAAGCTGGCATATTTATCATGAAGCGCTAACGCGCATCATGAAATATGCTGATGTGAAGCATCGTAGTTCATAACCTCATGAATCTTCAAAAATTCAATTCATTTCTTAACATGATTTAGAAGTCCATTTATTTTTTAAGAGAATACTTTAATATCTATAATCTTCAATCTTGATACAATCAATTTAGAAATAAGGTATCATTTTAAAATATCTATCGTGATATAAATACGGGTTGGTCACAAGATTAAATTCCATAAAGCCCAAAGGGCTTTATGATGAATTTGATCTTGTACCAACCCGTATTTATAGCCCGATAGATGTTTTAAAATGATACCTTATTACTTATATTTAAGGCGTTTATGCATAAAATAATCACACAAGCCAATCGATTGATCATCGTCATAAAATTGAAAAATATGACAGTTATTCTTTATATTTACATGCTCTTGAATCCACGTGCTCTAAGCCCAGCGTCTGTCTCTACATTTGTCCCACCCCGCACGTGATTTTTCTTAAAGGCAGAGATTTTTTACCAGGTGGTAAATTCCAGGTGAGGGAGGGGCTTATTTTGTACAGGTGTGAATGCCTTGGGGGCTAGCAGTCTACCTGTGGTCATCTGTCTCCTAATTCCTATACACAGGAAGTGATTTAATACACAGTGAAATACCCAAGGTGTCAAACTTTACCTGTGTCTGTGATTTTGAGACAATTTTAAATTAGAAGTGAAAAGTTGTAAATAATCTTATAGTATATTGATTTATTTTTGAATATTTGAAAACACCCCTACCCATTAGAAAAAAAAAATGATATAATATAAATTCAAATATTAAAACAAAGATTATTTTAGATGTTAGTGTATCTGTTAATTAAAAAAACCGCCAGTAACAACCAAATTAGAATTAATTCATTTATCCCCAGGGAAGAGTCCGATCTATTAAAAAGAAAGTCGAGTTAACTTCATTTCATTAAAATCTTTTTTAGGGTTATCCATGTTAGCGTAATCTTAATAAGGCTTTGTCACAATAAGATTGCTTGTAAATTAAATTCTTCTGAATGAAATCTGAATAACAAAGGAAAATATAAACAACTCATGATTAGAAACATTTATGAATATTTCCAAATTTAATTACTTCATACAGTGCTGCTCTAAACTTAATCAATAACATTTCCACTTTAGGCCAAATTTTTTTTATTAGTTGTTTTACGGATCCGCCGACCCCATTTTTGTAAGTTTTGGAAAAAAAATAAAAATTCCATTCAATCCTTTTTTTATAATCGCCGATCGAACTTTACTTCAAACATATAAAAAAAATCCGGAAATGACCGTACATTGTTTGAATTTTACTTAGTTGTGATCAGAATCATGTAAACGCTTCTACTATTGACCCTTTTAATAAAAACTCTGCAAGCGTTTTATAGTCAGAGATGAAATAAGTATGACGGCCATGTGAAACAATTTAGGTTTTTTAAAACAGAATATAAATGTTTTAAGAACAATATTAAATGTATAAATGTATGACGGTTTTTATGAGCTGATCAGGCTGGTGATTATTCTATATATGATGTTATCTGATCAGCGAATGGAGTGTGGTGGTTGAGGAAATTACAGCCAAAACCAACAAATCTGATGTCGTCACTTGCACTCCATCCGACACCCATAACTTTTCTTTGAGGGTTTGGCGAAGTTTTAAACAGTTATATCTAATGGTTAGTTAACAGTTCATATATTATTTATGACATTTTTAAAAGCACATGTTTGACTGTATTTTAAAAATCTGCAAGACGTGTTGTCAATTGTTAAAGCGTCAGAGAAACAAAAGACTTTTTTGTCATTGTACAGGTATGAATCTATCAAATGATGTGAAAGAAATGTTTCTTAAAGTTTTAAATTTTAGATTTGGAAAAGGAACTGACTCATCAGGATGTTCTAAGACAAAAAATGTTTGTATGAGAGTCATAGGAATGTGAAACCCTGTGGGGATGACTTATCATTCTAGTAAGTTTATTTGTGTTCATTGATTGTGCACTGAATTTTAGTTTTATACTGTTTAATACTGTTTAAGAAAAGGTATTATCTGAATTTGATTAAACTTTTATTATTTTACAGGGGGTTGTGTAAAATTTGCTGAAGTGTGTTTTTCTGTGGCAATGTGGACGTAGCAGTGAGAGGACACCCGTATCCAGTCATAGACATACACAGAAAAGTTTAGCATTGTTCACATAATATGTCTCTCTGCTCGAAGAATCGTTCTCTTTTAGTGAGGAATGCCAAGAAAAAGACATTTCTGTGCAATGTTCTGAGGTTGATTTCCCCAACTGCTTTGATATGCTGCATATTAAAAGTTTTGAACATTGAACACTTCTTCTTCTTTTTTTTTTTTTTTTTTTTGTAGCCACCCAATGGACATTTTCCCCCAAAAAATCCGTAAAACAACTAATAAAAAAAAAAATGGCCTTAGCATTACCATTATAAGCATAATATTAAAATTAAAATCAAAATTTCATTGGAAAAAAAAAGTTTTCATATTTTTTTTGAAAAATGTATGTTATATTATAATCCTTTTAAACACTAAAGGTATTTTTAATTCATATATCACCTAGCAAAAATTTTTCATAGTAATGCAGTTTCTCTTTAACATGTTCGGTAGACATCAAAGGATCAAAAGTTAATAAGAAGGTCCCCACGAGTCCCAAACAGGTGTACAGGGTATACACAGGGACCAGTAAGTAAATGTCAATCAAGTTCCAGCATCCAATGATGAACCTTCATGCACTTGATTGACAGGGCTACCCAGACCAGGTATTTTTGAAGGCGGTGCTAAAAATCTCTGCCTTTAACCGCACTTATCTATGAACCAGCGCATTCATGAAGGAATAAAATACATTAACTATTTGTAATTTTATCTCGGCCAAAGACATTGGAAATATAAATATTCACATTTGTGACTTATTCATACTTTATATTTGCCTGATTGTGACTTTTAACGTGTGAAATGCATTATTTTTCAAACCCAATGGCATGTATGTAATCCACTGAACGCGCGTCGACCCTTTATGACGTCACTGAGAAATTACGTTGAACGTTTATCCATAAGCACATCTATGACCTCTTGACCCTGAACCTGTATTTATACAGTTAAAGATACGCATTGCTTTCAGTAGTGTTATATAAAGGAAAACATTAGATTTTGCAAATGTAAATATTTTAATATATTTACATTACATTTGTTTTTTGCATATAAAGTGAATGGAAATCTATACATTGCATTCAAAACACCATAATACGGATAGGGTGCCAAGAGGTTAAAGCATGCCTTTTAGTTTGACATCATAATCATTGAACGCCGAGGAAGTGCAACATCACTAGCGAAAATAAAAAAAAAATCACGCTCAAATTGACCAGAAGCTGTTAAGTTTGCTGATCCATTAACTGTAGCTTACACGAAGGATAATACATAGGTTTTTTTTAAATAGAAATCACATTTGCAGTTAAGATAGAAAGTTAAAAAATGTAAATATAAGCAATGAATCATTATTTTTTTCAAGATATAATTTCATAACTGTAACGGTGTATGCAAACAAATTTTCATAATGCACGTTACTCAATTTGTTTGCACACACCGTTGCAGTAATGAGACTAAATCTTTCAAAAAATAATGATTCATTGCTTATATGTATACCAAATTCAGAAATTCTGCATTTCAGGTTGAAAAAATGGTTTCAGAGACATTGTCAAACTTTGGTAAGATTGACTTTCTGGTAAACAATGGAGGAGGACAGTTTCCAGGACCTGCCTCTTCTTTTAGTCTAAAGGGCTGGAATGCTGTCATAGAAACCAACCTCACAGGAACATTTCTGTGTTGCAGAGAAGGTATGTACATCATAACATGTATATTGTACCTTTGGGTTTTTTTTTTTTTTTACATAATATTTCAACTTCAAAATTGATATCATCATAAAAAATCATATGTGCTTCTTTACATCATGATCCTTCAGTCACCATGTATATTGGCATTCTATATTCAGGTAACCTAGAATATATCTTTAAAAAATACAGCAATTTAGTACAATAAATCAATTTTCTGTCATCCTTGGACTTTCAGTAAGGTGTGTCATTCTCAATGCTACGTAATTAGCATCTTTCAAATGGCAACATTATAGATATCGCATTGGTTAAAGG